AAAAAACAAAAAAATGTGTATTATTTGGAAAAATTTTTTTTTTTTATAATGTCTAATAAAAATAGAATAATTTCTTTTGTAAAATAAGTCAGAAGTTAGGAAAAGGTAAATGCAGAGAAAAAGAAAAAAGAGAAATAAAAAAAAGAAAAAAAAGATAAGAAAAAAAAAAGCTGCATGAAAATATATGTTCACATTCCAAAGTGACTGAGACGATCTAACCAATCAGATAAGAGAGTTTAGAATTTCAATGCCCTTTCAACGGCCACATTCTACTATACATATGCGACGCACATGACACACACACACACACACACACACATAAACATATACACGTAAGTATACTAACGAGAATAGAAAACCAATTTGTTTCATTTATTTTATATTCACCGAGAGCATTCCTTTTAAAAAAAAAAAAAAACAAAAAAAATTATATATATTTATATTAATTTTATATAATTATATATTAATAAATAATTTATGTAATTTATATAATTTATATTTATATAATTTGTATTTTTTTTTATTTTACTTTAACCTATTACCCACCAATAGCCTTTTTTTTTTTGCGACACATTATTAAATAATTATTATTTTTTTTTTATAATAACTGCAACTGTAGAATGAAATTATATCTGTTAAAATCATCATTATCGTATCTCGTGTTTCATGAAAAATATTTAAAAAATTTTTCTAAATATTTTTATTTGAAATTAATAATTGTTCCCATAATTATAAAAATGGTCTATGTCAAAAATTAATAAAAAAAAATATGAATTTATCACTTATTTTACACAACATCATTTTAAACTGAATTAATTCAACGTAATTTTCATGATATTGTTAAAAATGAATCGTTAGATAATGTTTGTTATTTCAATATTGTATAGAATTAATTATAGTCATCATCATCATCATCATCATAAGTAAGCTATCTTCATCCACTGCTGGATGTAAACCTCCCGTAATAGTTTCCATCTCCTTCTGTCCTGATATTTTGCAGAAATCGATTCCTTGAGCCAAAAAACATCAAATATCAAAAATGCATCCTTCCAGACGAAGTTTGTGCATATTTCGATATCAAAGCTATTTTGACTGGACTATGAGCTGCGTTCATCCACTTTGAATGGATACGTTTTATATCGAGAATATTTTTTAATTCATTTTATATCACAATTCATATAATGTTCAAATATAAATCTTGAAATATCTCGAAACAAGAGATACATGACTTAGATAATTATGAGCTTTCAATAATTATGAGCACAATTAACACTATTTCTACCACGAATATGTTTATTTCTAATTCGATTGAAAATATCGATCTTTAGATTCAGGATGAGTTTGAGGACAAACAAAACATGATATCGCTAAATTAATTTAACAACTGTTGTACAAAAAGGGCCACAAAATTAATATAATTGTGATAATATGATTAAATTTAAAGAATAATGTTTAGTTAACAATTTAAAATAATGTATTTTGATAACTCTCGATATAAATAATGTTAATGATAGAAAATAATGTTTATTATATATTTAAATAAAAAAAAAAGAAGAAATAAAAACAATTGTTACAAATATAGTTTTACTTATGATAGTATAAATATCATCATCATCATCATCATCATCATCGTCATTAGTAAGCTATCCTCATCCACTGCTGAATGTAAGCCTCCCGTAATAGTTAATAAATATCATTGTACAG